TATATATATATGTATATATTTATATATTGTAGCGCTGTTTGAAACGAATACAACGATATATGATATAATGTAAATATTTTACATATTATACGAGTTTTACAGATAGCTTTTGGAAGCAACCACTATGCTCACAATAAAGTTCAGTTTAAACTATTTAATTTGATATATATTTGTTACGGTCTATCTTTTTTAGTTTAAAAGATAAAAAGGGGTGGCCAGTTTTGGTGGGACATATATACATTCAATGTTGTTATTTTTTAAAAATAGATATTCCCACAAGATATTTTTGATAGAATTCCCACAAGATTTGTTTTGCTACATTAACATAAACATGTATATGTCGTAGCCAGATTACATAATCCATCGTTTTATAAAACATCTAGGCATTTTATAAAGTGCAGCTATATTCTCAAGTCATTGTTGAAAATGAAATATTTTACAATCTGGCTAAGAATTTTAGTCTTTTTATAAAATGCTAACAAGCGACTCGTCACATTGTCAAACGCAACGATTTGTACATGGTTTTAGATTCTGGCTGGTTCATTTCAGTCTTTTTATGAACTGTCTTTGTAGAACAGCCATTTATAGAAAATTAATAGATAATTATATTATAATATTAATAAATAATCATGTGTATTTCTAAATGAGAAAAAGCTTGTATGAATACTTGTTGTATTTATTACTTATTGTATTTATGAATACTTGTATTTATTACAATTAAGGTTTTATATTAAAAGTAACATAAATAAAATTTTTGAAAATAATGTTTGAAAACAAATAAAAAGAAAGATAAAATTGAAAGTGAAAAAAAGTTTTTAAAACACATTTATTATGACTATTTTATCAAATGTAACATAAAGTAAAGTCGCTATAAACGCGCCGTTCATAAAATGACTAAAATGAACCAGCCAGAATCTAAAACAATGTACAAATCGTCGCGTTTGACAATGTGGCGGGTTGCTTGTTAGCGTTTTATAAAAAGACTAAAATTCTTAGCCAGATTGTAAAATATTTTATTTTCAACCATGACTTGAGAATATGGTTGCACTTTATAAAATGCCTAGATGTTTTATAAAACGATGGATTATGTAATCTGGCTACGACATATACATGTTTATGTTAATGTAGCAAAACAAATCTTGTGGGAATTCTATCAAAAATATCTTGTGGGAATATCTATTTTTAAAAAATAACAACATTGAATGTATATATGTCCCACCAAAACTGGCCACCCCTTTTTATCTTTTAAACTAAAAAAGATAGACCGTTGTTTTGGAAAGCTCTCGGAGTAAGCTACAAGAATATGTAATAAAAAATGGGGAGTTCCATTTAAGAAAACATCGACCACATTGACCTCACCTTGAGAATACCACTTAAGGTCAAATCCATATTTTTATCATGTGGCTCCCTCGAAACCGTGCAACTTTTGTCTGAAACATTTTTATCTATCGAGCTCAGTTTTCGAGATATTCGCGTGGATTGATTAAAATAGTCCACCCTGTATATATACGCATATATATTTTAAATTAGATTATATATCACAAGCCACTTTATAATTCAATTGTAATTCTATATAATTTATATAGTAATAGTAATAAAATTAATTTATATATCTTTTATTTGATTCATGATTCTATCCAAGATCACAAAGAGACTTAAAATATTTGATTTATTAATTTTCCAACTTTCCTTATTTGTTTTTTTATTTTTTTAAGGAAATATGACAGATACAGAGAAGTTACGAGACGCCAGATCGGAATGCGGGGCAAGCCGTGGGCGTCAGAGCAGTAGGGTCAGACGATGTACGAGAGACGCAGTGTCGGCGTGCGGTGAGCGTAGTGTTGATCGGTTGTATCTGAGGGCGGCAGCAAACGCACGTACCAAGGGATCCCGGCACACACTACTAGTGATCAGAAGCGATTATGAGGCAGGATCCGCGAATGCTCTGACCGTCTCCAAGGGCGATGTAGTCGCTTTGTTGAGTGACCACATAAGTGACTGGTTTTGGGTACGTTCTAGGGATGATAGAGAGGGATTCATCCCTGCTGTTGTCGCTGGTCACGGCTTTCTTTGATTTTTTTTTTGTCAAATGAGATTTATTTAACAATGACGGACAGTCTTTGTTCATGAAATTCACAAAAGAATTGTGTGCGTGTGCGTGCGTGCGTGTGCGTGTGTGTGTGCGCGCGCGCACGTATACAAATATCGTATTCTCGAAATAGTATGTATATTCTTGCAATAATACCACAATTACCAAATTATTATCTATTAATAAATCATTCCACATAATATAATATAAAGAATTTTAGTCCTTTTTAGAATATAATTGTAATTTCGTATAATAAATAAATTTTTAATATCTTCTATATTTTTAATTGTAATTTTAAAACAAAATTACAATTTCAGTATTTATTTTGAGTGTGTATGTGTATGTGTATATATATTTTAAAAATATAAAGTTTAATAAAAAATACTAATACTTTCTTATCAATTATCAAAGTACAAAATGTTTTAAAATTTATAAGAAATAATAAGTTAAATCAGGAGCGCTTGCAAAAATATTAAATGTTTTATATAAGTTACATGTGACAATTAGAAAAAGTGTTATCATAACCCATTGTAAAATATATTTATAAATTCTTAAATTTTTTATATTTACTACATTTTCGTAATTTTGTTTTCATCATTTTTTTTGCACCGCTTTATCAATTAATTTGTTTTTGTTTATTACTTTTTTTCTTCTTCTTTTTACACTCTTTTATCAGCATATCATATTTATCACATGATTATGCATAAATAAATAAAATTTTGCGCACAATCAATCTAGAATGGTTATATTCATTGTCAAATCATTATTTTTATTATTAAATTTATATTTTTCAATATTGATTTTTACTCTTCTTTATTTAATTTAAAATTTTAATGATGTAATGTATTGTGCTCCAGTGAAAAGAAAACAAAAATATCCTAATTGTAATTTAGAGATGAAAAAAGAATACAAAATATCAATCATTAATTGCTAAAATGAATATTTGAAGATTATGAAGTTACTATTTTGAAAATGTAATATTAGTTCAAGTTTTGCAATATAATCTAATTTCTCTCTTTTTTCTCTAATATATTTCTCGATGTATCATCATGACGGAGAAAAATGTTTTATGTGGGATTAAATTTTATTCACAAAAGTGATTTAATTTATATTTAGAACTGTTTAAACTGCAAAATGATTCGTCAATGTGTTAAAATTAATCATGCAAATTTAAACGAAATTATGTACGCTTTAATTAATATTTCCAAATTTAATCAAATTACATTTACATTGTTCTTTGTACTTGTACAATATGTATTTAAATGAAAAAGTCAAAACGAACTAGATGTATATCCTGGATTTGGAGAGAGCAAGAAGGAAAGACAGAAATATAAAATGCTTTATCAAAGGAACAAATCCACCAATAAATTAACTTTGCCGCGGAAAGAAAAATCGCGCAAATATCCTTTGTATGTATTTGTACAAAAGAAGAATTGTATCACATAAAAAATATATGTATATTTTACTAATATATTTATTACAAACAAAAAACGCATTTCTAGCATTAATTACACCTGTTATTCCATCCATCTGATCGATAAGAAATTAAAACCTTTATGCGATATCAAAAAATTTTGTAGTATTCTAAATATTACGCAAATTTAAGCATCATTTCGCGATAATTGAAATTCGTACTGATATCGATACAATTCGAAGAACCAGCTGCACAGAGCAACTTATGTGGTGTTTCTTGATGTACTATACTATATACAGTGAGACTCGAGGTTGGTACTTTGGCCAGGATTTCACCCTGGTAAGTCATGTGATAAACATGAGCGGCCGCACCACCGGCAATCACGCGTTCCTCGTAGATCTCCGCCACATGTATCCCTTGATCAGCCAAATCAAAAATTGTCGCTGCCTCCATCGTTCGCATATGCCATAACGATAGACTAGGCCCACCGCCACATAGCTAGAATTAAATGAATAATTAGTATAAGAATTAAAATTTTAAATTGATGTATATGCAAAGCATTGCAAAGAATATAACATTGGCTACAATTGTTGTTTATCTCTTCTTAATTACATTTAATTATTTATTTTAAATAACGCCTCTCCTTCTTTTAATTTCTTTTTTATTTATATTCTGTAATTATACAGTTATTGATCTTTATCTAATAAAAATTTGCCGTCAATTATAGTTACATTTTGATTCTCTATCAATTATATATCTATATTTTATAAATATACTTATATTTTACAATTTCTCAATTAAGAGTATTAAATATTTTCACAATTAGAGATCAAACTAAATTTTTGTTTCGCACAAATGTGCAATTTAAAAAATTTTACATATATATAAATATCTTTTCTTATTTTTTATCATTACATACCAACCAATCTTCTGTAAAATCAACAGCACCGATCCATTTTCCAAGTCGCGGTCGAGCAACTTTATCTACTAAATGGGGCGTTAATATGCTAGTATTCTCCTTCTTACGCAAATCCCATAATCTCACAGAACCATCCTCACTGCAGGATGCAAGCTGATTATCCCTGAAATTGATAAAACTCTTCTAAATTATTTAAAAACACTGTATATGATATACTTTTCTGCAACTTCTTAGGTATAGATAAATGATAATTACATTATAGCAAGGCAGTGTATATAATCAGTGTGGCCTTGCATGCTTCTCAAAATTCTTCCGTCATCCAAGTTTATAATATATATGTTATTATCGCCACAACCAGCGTACAGTAAATGATTTGCTTTTGAGTATGCCATGTAATTTATATCTGGTTTATCATAACTATCCCTGAAAAAAAAAGAAAAAAAAAAGCTGGCCAATAGTTAAAATAAATTACATTGATTTTACATATAAATATATATAAGCTATATTTTTAAATAAATGTATATATATATATATATATACATTTATTTATAAATATAGCTTATACCGCTACCGCTCAAAAGTATTCGTCCACCATCGATTTCGTGGATAATTTTTATATAAAAGCCTTAGCTGGCACTTTACCTATATTTTTTTTATGTACACATGTATCGTCGTTATATAAGGCAGTATTTTGAAATAATATTTTGATTATCACTAATATATAAATAGAAAACATCATAAAACACCAGCAGCTCATTCCTTGGAATTCGCCTAGAGACAAAATGCGAACTTCCATTATTTATTCGGTTTGTGTCATGTCATAATAAGCATTCGTAATATTCTTCAGTTATCTGTTAACATTTCGCTTTTCATTTTTGCTTTGTAACGCTATAATCAAAAACAAAGGCGGACACATAGATGAAGGAAAAATTTAGTTTTAAGCATTACTGTGCACACAATTTTTTGGTAATTAGATACGTAAACATAAATAAATACTTTTCACATGATTACTACATTGTTTTAATTGTTTCTAACACTTATAGAACGTAACATAAATAAAATTTTTGAAAATAATGTTTGAAAACAAATAATAAAAAGAAATATAAGCGTGAGAAAAAATAAAAAAAATCACATTTATTATGATTATTTTATCAAATGTAACATAAAGTAAGGTTGGTAAAAATGCGCCGTTCATAAAATGACTGAAATGAACCAACCAGAATATAAAACGATGTACAAATCGTTACGTTTGACAATGTGGCAGGTCGCTTGTTAGCGTTTTAAAGAGATTAAAATTCTTAGCCAGATTATAAAATATTTCATTTTCAACCATGATTTGAAAATGCGGCCGCACTTTATAAAATGCCTAGATAGCTTTTATAAAACGACGGATTATGTAATCTGGCTACGACATATATATTTTTTATATTATTGATTTTATATAAAAAAATATAAACTAAAAGCTATCATCTCGCAACAAAGAGCGCTCGAATTAAACCGCGCCACGGAAATGAAACATTTTCGCGACTTACGTCAAGGTTTAATAGGTGCGATGTGAGAAGAGGATGATGCGCGTGATGATACGCACGTTGAACAGATTTCGGCTAAAAAATCTCAACATCACGGTAGGAACCGTCAATAATTTACAATTGGCACGCTGCGTGACATCCACATCCACATCCGCATCTGTAAGAATTATCGTAGAACCGCAAAAGGCACATCCTCTCGTCCTCTTTTCATAAAAGCGTTATTATTTGTCGCCCATATACGTATACTGTGTTCAGTGCGTTTTACTGGTGTCTTCCGATATAAAAATTGTCAGTACGGAGTACGGGCAGTAATTAAAGAATCATTCATATATTTTCATTCATATATAACATAATGCTAATTAATGCAGTTTTAATTGGCAATACGTTATATATGAATGGAAGTATATATATATGTATTTATATATATACGCACATCATATGTATATTTATGTGTACAGACTTTTCGGAATATACAGCAAACGTCGCGACGGTCACGTGTCACGTGATCTTAACTAGCGTCTTTTTCTACACCTTTCGTAGAAAAAAAGTTTGCGCATAAATTTGATTGAGACTGAATCTATCGTCTCTATTTGTCGTTCGAAAGATTATTTGGGCTACATTTGAAAACTTCGTGTGTCAGTTCGCCTCACGTGATTTAATATTTGGTCTCATTTGGCCTTTACTGACAACTGACGTTTATGAAAAGAGACTCTGTGCGCGCGTGTAAATATCATTAACGAAGTTTTGGTGTTTATTTAGGCGGCGGTTTATCGTGCACGGAAGAACGCTGAACAAAAAACGAACAGTATTATGACGAGGATACAGTATCCCGAGGCACGCAGGGATGAAAGTGTCGTCGATGATTATCACGGCGTTGAGGTTAGAATGCATCTTGAAGAAAGTGATGCCATTAATTTGTGAAAATATCTATTTGTTTAGCCATAAAGAATGTTTGACTCTTGATATTTTCATATTTCACATGTCTTAATCAAATAACGATTAGTCTTTGCATGAAGACTGTAAAGAAAGGCATTTTGTTATATAAATAGGATTTAAATATTTCAAGCTATATTTTAAGGAAAAAATATTTTCGCAGTTTATAAGTTTGTAGTTTGTATTATATGAAAGATATATACTTTTATTTTTAGATAGCAGATCCCTATAGATGGCTGGAAGATCCAGACTCGACGGAAACAAAAGCCTTTGTCGATGCTCAAAATGCTATCACTAAGCCATATTTGGCTGCGTGTAAAGCACGTGACAATATTCACGATCGATTGAAACAGTTGTGGGATTTTCCAAAATATTCATGCCCTGCCAAACATGGTGGAAAATATTACTTTTATAAAAATACTGGTTTACAAAATCAAAGGTACAACGCGTGATATATATTTTTATATGTAAGTTTATGAGCAGATTTCAAGTTAATAAATTATTGCAGTGTTTTATATGTACAAGATACTCTTGAAAGTGAACCAAGAGTATTTCTCGATCCTAATACTTTTTCCGAAGATGGTACTGTTGCAATTACCAGTAGTTGTTTTAGCGAAGATGGTAGCATTTTTGCATACGGATTATCTAAAAGTGGTTCTGATTGGAGTACTATCCATTTTCTGAATGCACAAACTGGTAAGATGATGAAAAAAATCTTAACAGGTGTTGTAGTTTTTCTTGATATAGCATTTTATTTGTTGCAAGTATATTTAATATATATATATATATTTTTTTATTTTTATTTTGTTTTTTTATTTTTTTTTATTTATTTTTATTTGCAGTCAGTTGTTCGTTAATTGTTTTAATATGGGAGATTCGCAATCGATTGGGATGTACGACTCGACTATTTTTCTTTATTCTAATTTTTACATTGTTTTTGTTTAGTATTTCCAGTATTTCATGAGGTCCTGTGTAATGGTCTCCGAATTTGCCTGGTTTCGGCCCTTTTAATAGAAACACATGATCTCCAGGCTTGAAATTCTGAGGGTTGACCTTTTTGTCGTAGTGCTCTTTTGACCTGCATTTTGCTTCTATAACGTTTTTACGAGCGTTCCCTTGAATGGCATGGAGTTGACTTATAGATTTTAAGATATTTCAGTGGATACATTAAAATGGCCTACCCTGTATATACATATATATACATTACCGCTCAAAAGTATTTGCCCACCATCGCATCGGTTTCGTGGATAATTTTTATATAAAAGCCTTAGCTGGCACTTTATCTATATTTTCTTTATGTACACATGTATCGTCGTTATATAAGGCAGTATTTTGAAATAATATTTTGATTATCACTAATATATAAATAGAAAACATCATAAAACACCAGCAGCTCATTCCTTGGAATTCGCCTAGAGACAAAATGCGAACTTCCATTATTTATTCGGTTTGTGTCATGTCATAATAAGCATTCGTAATATTCTTCAGTTATCTGTTAACATTTCGCTTTTCATTTTTGCTTTGTAACGCTATAATCAAAAACAAAGGCGGACACATAGATGAAGGAAAAATTTAGTTTTAAGCATTACTGTGCACACAATTTTTTGGTAATTAGATACGTAAACATAAATAAATGCTTTTCACATGATTACTACATTGTTTTAATTGTTTCTAACATTTATAGAACGATTGTTTTAGATGGGCAAATACTTTTGAGCGGTACTATATATATATATATATATCTCAAAAAAATATACTTATAAAATACTAAACTAATATATAGTAATAATCTTAAGGAGGAACTGAACGAATCAGCTACGTCAAAAGTTAACAAATCTAATACATTTCGAGAATCATGAATGTGACATTGTGTATATAAAACATTTTAGTCTTTTAAAATATAAAATTGATAAATAATTTGTGAATTAAAATAAAGATTTGCCTTATAGAATATAATTTAATCTCAAAATCGTTAATATTATTTTATATCGAACTAACTTTTTTATAGTAACTATACTCCACGAAAATTTTATAGGGACTGTGTGTAAAAAATTTATGAAAATTAAAGTTTTAATTCTTATTCTTAATTTTAATTTAGGGCAAATTTTTACTTTAAGTTATAAATTAATTATTTTTATATTTTTAAAGTCTAAAAATTCTTTAAATACGCAATGTCAAGTTCATGAATATTTCGAAGTGTATTAGATTTATTAACTTTTGACATAGCTGATACATCCAGTTGCTCGTTAATCGATCATGGATGTCGCAATAATCATCGTATCAGCTGTCGCGTTACTTCGAGCTGAACGCACACTAAATCTTTCTTTTTTTACTGCCATTCCCCCTTATACTTATAACATATTTACTGCCAAGATATCGCGACTACGATACTGCATATATTCGCAATATGATGCGTCGGACCTTCGGTTGGACCACTCGCACAAAGTTGTCCCCGTATCAATTATTATCGCATACTCGAGAGACAGCTATTGAGTCCACTAATAAGCAGGCTCTTATCATTTCGTACCCTTCCGTCTCCTCATGGATAGCAATGCCAACTACGTTGAACTTATACAGGATGTCCCAGAATTAAACTGATAAACTTTAGGTGGTTATAAAGAACACCAAAACAAGTCAATTTTGTAAGTCAATAAATAATTTGTTTCAAAGATTTTTACCTTTGTTAGTCTTTGATTCTCTAGTGCCAAAACGGCTCATTTGTGGACATGGATTTATTGGCAAAATTGGTTTATTTTGGTGTCCTTTACAACCACCTGAAGTTTGTCGGTTTAATTCTGGGACAGCCTGTATATGCTAAGAAATAAAAAAAAAATAAGATTTTGCGAATCATTGTATGTATCACTTATTCTCGATACTTATCGTGTCAAGCAAAATTAACATACGATCAATCTGCAGACATATATTTATCAGAGTAATTCTACTAGGGATCTGCTTTTTATAGCTGCACTAGTTCAGAGTTTATCTTTTTCTCTGCACATTGGAAGGAGAAAGATAAACTCTGAACTAGTGCAGCTAGTTCAGCTATAATAGAATATATAAAAATAGACCCTAGAATGATACGTGCATACTTTGATCGTGTACTAAACGTCGTAAAAACCGAGACTGCTAATGTTGATTAATTAATTCAATCATTTGCATCAGATGTGAAAGTAGGAGCTATAAAGGAATTAGTGAAATCGTTAATCTAGGAATAACTGAATACATTTACACGTCATCCATAAACGAATTTAATAATATCCGTAGTTTTAAAAATAGTCAATCACAGTCATTCCATTCTTCAGAATAATAGCTGTAATTGGCCAGTTTTAAAATTACGGATGTTATTAAACCTGATTAAGGGTGACGCGTAATTTTTTGAAACGTAAATACTCTCTCTTTATAAAAAAAGCTGGTATAATATTATATATATGTAGGAATATTTTTATTTTCTATAAAAGAGCAATACAAACATTCCTATAATATATATATCGTAGCCAGATTACATAACCCGTCATTTTATAAAACGTCTAGGCGTTTTATAAAGTGCCGCCACATTCTCAAATCATAGTTGAAAATGAAATATTTTACAATCTGGCTAAGAATTTTAGTCTTTTTATAAAATGCTAACAAGCGACGAAAAATATCCAGAAATTTTGGAAAAAGTAAAATTCTCACCAATTACATGGACACACGACAATCGTGGCATCTTTTATGGACAATATCGAGATCAACAAGGAAAAACTGATGGTTCAGAAACTTTAGGTAATCAAAATCAAAAACTATGCTATCACATTGTTGGTACATCGCAATCAGATGATGTTGTTGCAATTGAATTTCCTGAAGAACCATTGTGGAGGATGTGAGTTTTGCAATTTTAGTTTTTAGTTTTTTTTTCTAATACTCTACTATAAAATATTATATTTAAACATGTAAAAAAATAATATGTTATATCTTGTATACAGATTTTGTAAATTTTAATGTATCTAGCTATATTCAGATATGCCAATATTTTAAATTCGACTATATATTTTTATATAACACAAATATAAAAGAACAAATATTTAAACAAATTATAAAATTGATTTTTTTATGTATATATACTTAATATGCATATTTTTGTTTTATTAGAGGTGCAGAAGTATCTGATTGTGGCAACTGGCTCATTGTTACTCCTCTGAAAGATTGCAGAGATAATTTAGTGTATTTTACTCCATTAAAAGCTGGAATGGACATAAGTAACAACTTGCCATTGACACAGGTTGTTGATAAACTTGAAGCTGATTATGAAGTTAGTAAATACTTGGCTCTTCAATTTATTATATTTGTTGTTTGTAACATTTATGCTATTGCTTTCTTATATATTTTCAGTACGTAACCAATGTTGGTACCAAAGCTGTGTTTCGCACAAATAAAAATGCACCTAACTACAAGTTAATAGCTATAGATTTGTTAGATTATGGACAGGACAAATGGGTTGATCTTTTGCCAGAACATCCTGAAAATGTATTGGATTGGGCTGATGCTGTAGATGAAGACAAATTCGTTGCTTGTTATATACAAGATGTTAAGGTAAATATATACACGAAATATGTCTAGAATAACAGCTTAGAGTAAATAATAGATACTGACAATTGAATCTTTTATAGAATATTTTGCAACTGCATTGTTTAAAAACTGGTGAAATAATTAGAACGTTCCCTCTTGATCTTGGTACTGTTGTCGGATTCTCAGGCAAGAAGAAATATTCCGAAATATTTTATCAGTTTACATCATTTTTAACCCCTGGCATCATATATACAATTGATTTGAAAAAAGAAGAGGAACCACGAGTTAGTATCTGTTTTTTTTAAACATCTATACTAGTATAATATTTCATTACTATATAAAAAGTTTTATATTGAGCATATTTATAAATTGATTTGATAACTTATGTTTTTGTTTTTATAGATATTGCGAGAAATTAAAGTAAAAGGTTTTGATGCAAGTTTATATAAAACTAGTCAAATATTTTATCCAAGCAAGGATGGTACAAAAATTCCCATGTTTATAGTAACAAAGAGTGTATGTATATTAAAAGAAATATATTTCAATAAAATATTAAATGTGTTGTATTATTAATGTGGCCTGTGAGCATTTAATAAGTAGAAACTTAAGAATATCTGAAGACTACTAAATTTTTATGTATGTATTTTATCTTTGTATATTTCTTTCTCGTCAATGTTAAAAATTATCAGTGAAAACATTTAATTTAGGATGCTGTATTGGATGGAACTATGCCAGCCTTACTTTATGGATACGGTGGCTTTAATGCAAGTATTCAACCTACATTCAGTGTTACGAGACTTGTCTTTATGCAGCATTTAAATGGAGTACTTGCTGTCGCTAATGTTCGTGGAGGGGGGTATGTAAGGATATAGAAAATAAAGAAAATCTCTATAAAATAATTTACTTATATAAAAAATATCAATTTTCAAAAATGGCATTCTTTGTTATAGTGAATACGGAGAAAAATGGCATAATGCAGGACGTTTCTTCAATAGACAGAATGTATTTGATGATTTTCAATATGCAGCAAAATATCTTGTAGAAAATGGGTACACTACTTCAACAAAATTGACGATTCAAGGTGGTAGTAATGGTGGCCTGGCTGTTGCTGTATGCATAAATCAAAGACCTGATTTATTTGGTGCAGCTATAGCTCAAGTGGGGTTAGTTGACATATTTTTATTATTTTTGTAACTGTCATGCGTGCGCGACATGTATAGTAACGAAAACTACTAAAATCTTTTCAGAGTCATGGATATGTTGCGTTTTCATAAGTTTACTATTGGTTCCGCTTGGGTTTCGGATTATGGAAGCTCAGATGATCTTAAGCATTTCCAGAATTTGTTGAAATATTCACCTTTACATAATGTAAGAGTACCTCCTGATGATGTACAATATCCAGCAACATTGCTTCTGACTGCTGATCACGATGACCGCGTCGTACCTTTGCATACTCTTAAATTAATAGCAACTCTTCAGCATACACTTGGAAACATACCAAAACAAAAAAATCCGATACTTGTAAGAATAGATACTAAGGCGGGTCATGGAGGTGGAAAACCAACCATGAAAGTGGTAAGTATATATATTTCTGTAAAACAATTTGCATTTAAAACATATATACACACAATCGATTTTATTTTAAAAATATCAGATAATAGGGAGAATATTCTATTTTAGATTGAAGAAAGTACCGACATCTTGTCATTTATTGTACAATCCTTGGGTTTGGAATTTAAATCATAATTAATGAAGCTAAAAAAAATGTAAGTTACAACACATTTTGCATAAATCTTTAAAAAATCAAAAGATGTAATATGATGTCACTAAAAGCGCTTATGCGATTATTATGTGTATTGCAATATATTGTTGCAAATTGATCCGATATGCTTCAATTGCAAATTCTTTTATAATAATACTGTATCCTTATTGTCGAATAAAAATGACAAAATTTATACTTTATGATAATGTAAGACGATGAATTCTTGATTTGTTCAAAGTATAATATTCACCAAATGAAATATCGAGCAATCGTTATAATTTTTAATATTTAACAGTCAAAAATACGCCAAACAAATTCTAGTTCTGAAAAACATTTTTTTATTCTGAATCTTCTTCTCCCTCCCTTACCCTACAAGGAGATTGCAAAAATGTTAAAATTAATCAATACTGTTTTAAAATACTGTTAAAAGAAAAAAATATATAACCAAAAAGTTGTTTTACGAATCCCTTTTGGATCGCTATATCCCGGTATTGTCCCTCTTTATTTGGTAGTTTTGTTGATAGTATAATTATTAGATATAGATATATATATAAAGTTTGTTTTATTTATAAAATTCATATTTGTCAGTGATACTGACGGTGTCGTTGTCAATGTGGAAATGTATATGTCCAAATTTTTGTTATACGAAAAAATATGTAAACGTAATATTGGATGGAATATCGCGATATCCGGTTTTATGATCAGTATTAATTAATCCTGGTCACTTACTGCGGTGATATTAAATTATAACATCAGAAGCAAGAAATCATATAAATTTTTTTATTAGCAAATTACGTTGCAAATAGTTGAAATAAGTAAGTTTTGTCTTATGCAAATATCCGCATTCGATAATATCAATTGACAAAACATATCGAAGATTTTCTTTAAGATATGTGATTAATAAATAGCTATAAATCTTAAATTGTTATAAGATCTCTTTTTTTATTGGAGAAACATAGAGAAGGTATATGTGCATTTACTAATGCAGAGCAATAAAATAGAGACTATATTTTATCAATTTAGTCACCAATTTGAATGTGAATATTAGCATATAAAAAAATACTTATTTCAACACATGTAAAAAAAAAATTTATGATTTCTCGCTTCTGACATTATAATTTAATATGGTTGCAGTGAGGAAACAGGAAACTTGACGTCATAACGAGAATTGCAACGCTTGTATAATGTTCGTGGCGAGCATTTTTGATGTAAAAACGACAATATATAAAGTCACTCGAAAAATAGCATCGTTCTAGTAGCTGACGAATAAATCATCTCTGGTGAGTACATTACTTAATTATGCTTATATGTATGAATATTAATACCATGAATGCGCATGTGTTACATTGAATATTTATTTATGATAATTTTATATTCGATATATTCTCGCATTACATAATAATCGCGCTTTAATAACGCTTCCGCAACAATTACGATATATCCCTTCAAATAGAAAATATACAAAGGAAAATAAGATATTTTGGCTTTCACGCAATTGGTTATTAAAGAATTCAGAGTAGAAGTTAAATTTTTATTTTTTTAATATATAAATATGTAATAAATAGATCAGTTATAAAAATAACATAATAATACAATTGAAAAATAATTTTTTGCTTTTGTCATATAATACAGATATATATATAACCGTTGACAAGCTGGAACGAATTTTTTTATATACTTGGTGTCGCGACGCTACCGCGTCGCTTGATTTAATGTATTAAAACGACATGGGAGAGAAAATGGAACAATTAATAAAATAGATTCATATAAAAATCAGTTTATTGCAACTATTGATATACGAAGGATAAATTTGTGTTTACTATTACTAAAAATGCAATATTAAAATTAGCAAACACTTTTTCAATAAGCATCGAGTTCGTTTAATACGGCACAATCATAAAAAATGTATAGTAAAATTCGGAATTATTAATGCTTTCGAACCGAGTAAGTTACAACTTTAATTTCATGCTTTACATCGTGCGATGTAATATAAAAATGTGATGAAAAATTATTTTAGCTAAAATATATAGGATCACACTTCAGTTTACGTAAAAATTAGACAGATAAACAATATCGTAAAACGTATCTTTTGACGATAGTAAAGCAATCAAGAAGTTGACGTATATAATACCGTTTACTCGATCTATAAATTGCGTCAGATATCTTGCTAATGGTCAAAATTTCTGAACATTGCCGCGAAATACTGTGAGAAGAACTTTCCCATATATTGTTCCTCCTTGACCGGCCAAAAGCCTTCTAGGAAACCAATATGCCCTCCACGCGACGTTACCACTACGGCCACGTTTTTAGTTTTGCTTATCTCCTTTAGAGGTATCGCTGAAAATTTATGGGCGTTATGAGTAAGATAGTATAAAATTATAATAGCGTCATAAATGATTTCGTTATCGCGCTTTACGCTTACCTTTCAATGGTTGAAACGGATCATCCGCCGCGTTGAGACATAACGTAGGAACTTCGATCAGATGCAACTTTTCGTCAAGTGTCGCATCGCGATAATATTCGTCGACGTTTTTATATCCAAACTGTTTTGCCGTAAAATGCGAATCAAATTCTCTTATCGTTTGGCTCTGTCAAACATAGTAATAATCTAATAATTCACGTATGAGTCAGATAACGCACAGTATTCTTGTCACAGTAATCTAGATAGACAATATCAAATCTCAGACATCACAAATATATATATATCGCGAATTTATGCCTGATTTCATTTTCGATTAAGATTCTAAAGTTTATTTAGAAGAAAGTAGAGATGTACAATCATCAGTAAAACCACCTCCACTTATCAGTAGAGTGTAAAATAATCCATCAAATTATTTTGACAAAATTGTTAAATGTTTATATTAAAAAGTTAGAAACTTTTGACATTGTCTAATCTTTTCATATATTCAAATTTAATAAAAACGTACTTTTAAAAGTGTGTCAAAATCTACGCTTTTGAAAGGGCCAATATCAGAAGTATGATATTGTTCTACTGTGCGACGTAGATTACTAGCTAGATGCTTATTTAGCATTAGATTTAAGTAATTTTCTTCGATACTCTTCGTTGCGGCGAACACGTTCAATGGTACCGAGATAATAAGACATGCTTTCAATTTCGTCCTTGCTGTTAAACCTTGTTGCGCTAAATAATTACCTAAGATCAACCTGTGCATAGCAGAAAAAACGTTTAGAAAAAATATTCGAATGATTTCATTCAATTTATAAATATATTGTATATATTTTTTTCTAAACACTAGAAATATATATTATTACAAGATTTAAAATTTGAAAATAAATTAGAAAATATGATAATTACCCTCCCATGGAGATTCCGGTTGCTCCGAGGGGTACGTGAGGGTGACGTTTTCTCACGTGTTCTACAACTTCAGTTAAGTCATCATAGTTAGCAGCATTATACGTTCGTGGGGTCTAAAAGGAATAAAGAACGTCGAATTTTTGTTAATACAGAAAGTAGTTCCTGATTAAAAAGATTATTGTTCACAATAAGTGATATAATTGCACTTTTTTTCATATAATATTTCTGAATAGAGTTATCTAGTCGTCATGAATAAACTCTACCTTCAATTTTAACCCGCCTAAACCTCTATTGTTGAAAATTACACATCTTATCCCAACTTTTCTCGCGGCTGATACCAGACATTTGACATATTCCGCTTGACTACCACCCGTAAGACCAGGTAAAACGATAACGATGGGCGAGGTAACGGAGCAGTCCTTTTCGGCCCAATCTAAAGCCACTTCACCGCCGTCAGGCAAAGTCAGAATTTCTCTACATAATATAGAGACAATATTACAGAATACAATTTGATATATTGCATGATTGATTACACTATCTATTTTTCAAACATTTAGGAAACAATTTCTCTCTCTCTCTCTCTTTCTCTCTCTTTCTCTGATCGGCGAATAAATTTTTTCTCTATAAATTTTTTGACTAACCTGCGATATTTGATAGGCGGTAATATTCGGGATCTTAAAAGGCTGGCTATAATGGTCTGTGCTCGCGATTCGAAGCACCATAATGTCGGCCAGAATTTATTCTGTACGAGCGGAATATTCGCTTCTAAAAACGAGCGAAATGGTCCATCGGCGCAAGCCAGCAAAGGTGTCTGAAATCGTAATAGTTTTTTTTTTTTTTATTGTTTTGCATGGTGCGATATGAGTGGCATGATTACATAATCGTAAAACTGAACTTTTATATATTATCCATTGTCTGATCTCATTAATGAATAATTTTTATGCGATCGTGTGATTTATTTCACAGGTTCATGGAATGGTAAATAATCATGCGAATCAAGTGAACCGTACTAAATTATGAATTATAAATATGCACTTGTCATTATAATTATATTGTCGTACAGTTAAAAACAATTAATTCTTATCTATGCGCAGCTGATTTCCTTAATATATAAATAAAGGATGTAATTAAATAGAATCTCAATCGGGTTATAAGAATAAAATGGAGCAAATACCTGTAGTCATATCTATCGAAGCATTTGTTTAAAAAAAAATGTATGCTTAAAGCATTTGTTTTTATGTTTGAAATTGGAATATTTGCTTTCACGTTATGGAAAAGAATACAAAAAGATGTGAGTGAAATAAAAGGGGGTAAAAGATATATAAAGGGAATATATATATATATATATATATATATACATATTTCATACCAAGTAATATGAAACAAGACTATATTATACATTTTAACATCACGCATCGCTTTTACAAGATAAAATTTATTGATCAAAATTTTTTAATTATCACATCATTAATGTATCTATATCACTAATATAGTTAGTAGCTTGCGACTAGTTATTTCACGACCGATAGTTCACCTGCCTACGCTGACGCATGTGCAGGACAACTGCCTCGCAGTTTTAAGGTCAAATTAATAAATTGCATTTTTCCTCGTTGAGGGTCGTGCAATAGTTCGAACACGTATCACGGAAATCCTGTCTTTGTGTATCGAATATGTTTCGTAAAACTGTGCGGTATACAGATAATATTTTGCATTAAATATTTTGATTATAAACTTAGCCTTCTTGAATTTGTTTTGCGTAAAAGTACATTTTTTATGCAAATAGCTACTGATATTGTTACGTATTATAATTACGTATATTCTTTAATACGTGTGTATATCAAATATAGAAATATAGATAAATATGTTAAGTAATCTGCCAATTAAATTCGTAAATA